ATTAAAAATGAGTCTGCTGTGTCAGTGCTTGTTTACTTCATTTCCACTTGTGTCCTTTCTGGCTCCTTGCGTTGTTGGTGATCTTGAAAGAACTCGCTAGCTCAGTGCCTGTCCAGATTTTGAATATCCATGTCAAAATCCCCATCCCCACGTAATCTTTAGCCTGTTCCAGGCTAAAAAGATTAATTTCCTTTTGTCTGAGTATGACAGTGCCTTTAGAAAATGGGCCATGTGGCTTTATTGTAACATGCACAAGCTTGGTCTTTTTAAGATGTGGAACAGCCTCAGTAGTTGGGTTAATGTTTTGCGATTCGTGGTGTTTGCCACAGGTGTTTTCATGGTGTATAGTTTTTGAAAGTAAGTTGCAGGCCTTGTTCCTTTAGACAGTAGATATTTTGCATGATGCTGCAGTCTTCGTGCAAAGGAAGAAAAAGATTCCACCTCAATGCGTTCATGTGTTGTTGGTTTTATGACTTTTTCTCTGAATCACTCAATAATGCGATAGAAAGCGGAGAAGATCATTGCACTGGAGGGGTTGTGGAACTGTGAATTTGTGCAGATGTTTTTCTCTCCCGAGCTCCAGTAGCTTGTAAAGTGAGTCACATGTTAGCTTTTTTTGGTGATGGGATTTCAATGTGACCTTATTTTAAAAAGGTAAAAAGGTCTCGGCTTGTTTGATTGAACAGTGTTTCCTTTAAGCCATGAGCAATGTTAACTGGAAGAGGGGAATTCCCTGCATTTGTGTTTAAATTAAAGATGATTTAAAGAGGTACAGAAATGGATCCCTGTTCTAGAGGTTTCAAGAAATGTCTGCTGTTACCTTGTCCCCAGGAAGTTCACATGGAGGACTTTTATTTATGTGACACAAAATAACCAGGGGAAGCTTATCAGTGTTGCACCGGTACAAGTGTTAAAGGAATAGGCTTCACCAGTGGGCTCCAGATCTGTGTCCCATCAGTGTTGAAATTCATTTTCCAGAGGGTTTTTTCATCTGGCAGGTGTTCCCAAATATCACTTGCAGCTGAAAGAAGACCAGATAAATTAATGCCCAGTACCTAAGGACTGAAACATGAGTGCCTGATCTTTTAACAGGCCTTATACACTGTAAACAGAGGGCATTAGTGGTCTGGGACAGCTCCGCCATGTTGTTGAAATTGATACCCGAGCTTCTTTAGAGAAGCAGCTGGATGATCCAGGGAGCTATTGATGGTCTAGTTAGGTGGGCCGAATGGCCTCCTCACATAGTGTTTCTTGTCCCCTTGTGTTCTTACAGGTCTCGTTCTACATTGTGACTTCTTTGTACTCGCCTACATTTCCTTCAGTATTGTTGTTTAATTGCAGTGGTAATTGGTAAAAGAGCTCAAGGCCCAGTGTGGTGTAGTTTTGAAAACAATGAACAGATGTTCTTCTCATGTGAGAGAGTGTGTCCACGGTTTTATTTTGTTAATTGAGAAACTTTAAAAAAAAAAACCTGTGAATGGCGAAGGGGGTACTTGTTGCATTGTCCCTGCGTGTGTTCAGTGTTCGGCGTGTGTTCAGTTTCAGATGCTGAATTGACCACATGGTATTATGAAGGGGCAGAGTCCTTCACCCCGATTCCAAAAGTGGCTGTTCTAGGCAATAAAAGCGGAAAAACAACATGGTGGGGATAATTAGGGGGTAAAGGCCTTTTTAAAAACGTTCGTGGTAGCTTTGAAGCTTTGGAGAGAAGGGGGTCCTCTCTCGGACACGCGGGGCGCAGGACTTCCTCTGGACAGAGCGCCAGGCTGTCTCTGGGCTTTTCTGCGCTGTAGGAACCTGATCTGTCACTACGTCACCGCAGAGCACCGCTGGGACTGCCTCTGAATCGCTGGGCGAGGGGCGTCTGATTTGTGACGTGCATGGCTATTTCCTAGTTAGCTTCCCCTTTGGTCTGTTCACTCTGGAGCGATGTGGCGTCTTAAAGTGTTATTCCGCAGTTGGGTTGATCTCGATTTTGTGCCAAGGATGGTTTTTCAAACCTTGTTTAAATTGCTTGTGTCCTTCAGTACAGCGAAGGTCTTGATAGTACGATATTTTCAATACTCCTGTAAAAAAAAAAAAGTCATCACAGGCAGCGTGAGGTGTAGTTCTCAGTGCTGCATCACCAGTGAGACTCCTGTGCTGGCCGACCTGACATCAGCGCTACAAGGTTGGCAGCATTTCCAGAAAGAAGCGTCCATAAAGATCCTTTTGCAGGTGGGAATGAGTGGTAGAGGATTTAGTGTTTAACATGCTTTGCTTTCCTCCTTGCATTCCCCTCTGAGCTACACAGTCTGGCGTCCCTGAAGTTCCCCCTTAAGTAAGGAGTTTTGCACTCTTCTGATCTGCTGTGTAATGCTGTAAATGCTGTGCATCTCCCAGATAGGTGCTGCAGTTCAGTGGTGGAGGAATTGGGCTTCCCCTGCACTTCCCCTGGGGTGATTTGGAGATGAAATGTGCTATACCAATGCAGTTCATTCATTGTCCCCCTGCCTGCTTTTATTTCGAGAGCTAAAGGGTTAATGGACTGGGGTGGCAGTATGGTCAGTGAAGGTTGAATAGCTGAGAATCTCTGACAGCAGGGTCTTTCTGCTATTTTCAGATAAGTGACCTGTTCCCTGCTTGATCTGCTGACAGAGGCTAGATCTGCGTTCTTGCTCAACATGGGGGGGGCTGGGGTTCAACAGCAGCACCATGATCTAGAGACGGATGTTTCTGCACCTGGGCTCTCTGACTGTGTCATCCTCCAGGAGGGCATGTGGGAGCCCGGGGCGCAGGAGTGACATGGCCGAATGACGAAACATTCATCGCTCTTACGATTTGCTGTATTTTTTTTAATTGGATCTCGCATTCAGCTTCGGCATATGAGAAGTAACAGTTTCATGGTACATCGATACTTAGCCTTTTGTTTGAAATTCTCTTTAGGTGCCGGAGTGAGACGCTCTCATGTACAGAACCTCCCTGTCTGGCGTCTGTTTCTGTGTTGCCGTTTAATGTCAGACCAGAAGCAAAGCCAGGCTTTCCCAGTAGTTTACGTATAAGAGTGATTGTGTATGGAGTGCATATGAATGTTACATATAGAAATCTTCACAATTTAAAAATAAGTGTTTTTCCAGGTGATGCCAAAGTGCTCATAAAAAACACCCATTACAGTTGTAAAGTTTTCTTTTGTGCGGGTCTTTGTCCTTAAGATTTAAGCGGTCTTCTTTTAAGCACTTTGAGAAGCCACTTTTAAAGGCGCTATATAAAATAAGGTTTATTATTATTATTGTTCTTTTTTTTAAAGGAAACTCTGTCTCTTTCCTGACCGCACACCTCACTCTTAAAGGAGTTTATGCTGAAGGCCAGTGTAAAAAGAAGGGTAAATGTTTGTGTGCCAGACTGAAGCACGGTCATTTCAAGTGATCCGATGGGATTTTGCTTGTGCAGAAAACTGTCAAAGTTAATGGCTGATAAAATGCTGCAGTGACCGCCAGTATTCCTGCATGGATCTTCAGGTGCAGGAACAGTGGCATGGATGAGGGGAAATGTGCAGGAGTTACTCCGGCCTGTGCTTGTTCACCATGCCACCAGGTGGCGCTGGTAGCAGCAGCTTTGACAGGCAAGAACAAGGTCTGAGCTCAGACACAACAGGACACACTGGCTGACTGGAGAGGGATGCAGGGAATGGAGCACTTGTTTAAGAGAAGAACATGGAATCTTTATCGGGGGAAAAAACTGTTGATGATATCATATTGTTGATTCTGGGGGCAGGTGGTTTGCAGGAGGGGGAGGAAACCTTTTTAAATTTCCATGTGATTTGAAAATAAAATGCATGCAGAAGGAAGTCGAAGATGAGGAGTAAGCTGATTCTGTGAAACCAGCCCTGTGCACTGGGCTTTCTATAAGTGTAAGCAATGATTTTCATTAAATAACAGGTAGTGACAGTATGTAAGGCAACGAACAGAGCAGGAAATACAAACCGACAGTAAATATGTGCCCGAGTGCACGGTGACCTGTTGAGGATGAGCACGGCCGTCGGGTGAGTGAAACTGATCAATCGTCTCTTTCTGCTCCTTCCTCTCCAGGCGCTCGGCTCGTTCCAGGAGCCGCTCCCCGGTCCCCTTCTCCTCCTCCTCCTCGCGGCGCTCTTCCTCCCGCTCGCGCAGCAAGAAGCGCTCGTCCGGAGCCCACAGCAGCCGGCCGCCCAGCCTGTCCCCCTCCTCGTCCCGCTACCCGCTCAACTCCAGCCTGGGGGCCGAGCTGAGCCGGCGCAAGAAGGAGCGGCAGGCCGCCGCCAGGGCTGCTCGGACGATGGCGTGCAGCAGCCCGAGGGACAGCGCCTCCGCCTGCGGCGAGCTGACGCCCTGCAGGGCCAGAGCCCACAGCC